GCAGCAGTCGACCAGCCTCGCGACCAGCTCGTTTGTGTTACTAGAAGTACATGCATACGTCGCGAAAGTCCCTGAGATGAAGTAAATCGCGAAAGATACCAGCCGAAAAAAATCGCCGCNGTGTAGAGTCAAGCATCATGGCAGTAGAAAAATATGAAAAGGACACATTATTTCGCCTATCGCCGACAGGTGATCTCCGCAGCAGTCGACCAGCCTCGCGACCAGCTCGTTTGTGTTACTAGAAGTACATGCATACGTCGCGAAAGTCCCTGAGATGAAGTAAATCGCGAAAGATACCAGCCGAAAAAAATCGCCGAAAGTGAAACACGATTCACCGAGAAACGATATGCAGTCGCCGAACGTCGCCGAAAACAAAAGCCGATCACCAATTTTTTTCGCCGAAAAAAAAAAAGGCAAACGCCGGAAAAAAAAGAAAAAGGTCGCCTATCGAGCAAAAGCCTAATGAAGGCGTGACTCGATATGTACCGTGATGGTTTGACGAGCACGAGCACGCCCCCGATTAATACAACACGGCAACACGGATACAACACGTTTTTCCACACGTCTGCACGACGTTTCCTACCCCAACGGCCCGTACTGGCCGAGCTGCTCTACACTCCTATCACACACAACTGAGCCACCCGAATAATCGATCAGGTCCATCGGTTGGTTGTTATTGTGTTGCGACGCGGCGGGAGGGAGCGGCCTCTGGCTCTGCTCTGGAGAGAGGCACACATACATCACAGCACGGGACCAGTAAAATATCACGCTCATTCCTCGAAGATGTAGTGCCACTGCTGTGCTGTGCACCTCTCCACACTCATTGTGGGCGAGAGGGTGTGTCGCCTCTGCTGCTGCTGCTGTTGCTGTTATCTAAAGCGGTGGCGGAAGCGTCCTGTTCAAACAATCAGCAGCAGCAGCAGCACAAGCCGCGGAATTTTTCAACGTATGTTATTTTACTCTAGCTGATGAAGATGGATGACACTCCGCTGCCGGCCTTTTTTTCGCCTTTTTTTCTCTGGAGAGAGAGGGAGTCCCACCAACCAGCGTGTGTTGCACACACCACACAGCGAGAGCGGGACGGGAGCAGGGTGTGCCCTATACTACTGCTGCTGCTAGCTTTCGGCGGAGGAAGCGAGAGGAGAGATATTGATTGGGTCTCTGTGGGTCCA